ATACAACAGGCTGAAGATAGTTTATTCAATAAATGGTGTTAGGAAAATTGGAAAGCTACATAGAGAAAAATAAAACTAGGCCACCTGATTATTCCACACACTAGAATAAATTCAAAATGGAATCAAGACTTACATGTTACACAAAACCATAAAAATCTTGTAAGAATACTAGGCAGTAAAATCTCAGACAGTGTTTGTAACAATATTTTATCTAATATATCTCCTCAGGCAAAGAAAACAATAATCAAATTGAACTACATCAATCTAAAAATTGCACAGCAAAGGAAATCGTAAACAAATGAAGACAATCCATTTAATAGACAACATATTCACTGATACATCTGATAGGGAGCTAATATCCAAAATTTGTAAATAACCAAGAAAAACAATTCAATTAAAAAATAGGCAAAGGGCCTGAATAGACACTGCTCCAAAGAGGACATACAGATAGCCAATAGGCATATTAATAGATGCTCAACAACACTAATCATCAGATAAATGCAAATTAAGAGCACAGTGAGATGTCACTTTATACCAGTCAGAATGGCAATCATCAATAAATCATCAAACAAGTGCTGGTGAGAATGTGGAGAAAGGGGAACCCTTCTGCACAGTTAGTGGGAATGAAGATTGGTGCAGCCACTGTGGAAAGCAGTATGGAGATCTCAAAAATTAAAAATGGGTCTGCCTTTTTATCCAGCAATTTCACTTCTGGGAATGTATCTGAAGGAACCCAAAAGCTAATTCCAAAGAACATAAGCACCTCTGTGTTCACTGAGGCATCATTTGCAATTGCCAAGTTAGGGCAGTATCCCAAGTGTCCATTAGTAGATGGGTAAATAAGACAACTATGGGACATGTACCAAATGGAATACTATTTGGCCATAAAAAAGAAAATTTTACCTCTCACAACAGAATGGATGGGCCTGGAGAACACTATGCTAATTTAAATATGCAAGTCAGAGAAAGACATATACCACATGATATCACTCATAGTGGAATCTAATAAACAACTTGAACTAACAGTCGAAACAGAGACAGACCTATAGATAGAGAGCAGGATGAGAGCTATGGGGGCTAGTTAGAGGGTGGTAGGATTGAGAAGGGAAGAAATGGGAAAAAATAAAATTACAAAAAAGTAAAAAGAAAAAATGGTCTTCTAAAGAACCTTAAATATTAACCGGAAAAGTTCATATACTACCCTAAGAGCAATTTAGAGATTTTAAAATAGAGAAATGTCATGCTAATTAATATCATCATTCAGGTCTCTGTTTAAAAGTTTCCTCCTCAGAGAAACCAACCTAAAAGTAGCTACCACCCCTGATTCCCAACATGCCACTTTAGACCCAGTTACTCTGCTTTATTTCTTTGAAATATCTCATATTAAAGTATATATTTGCTATTTTTTGAATGTTTATCTGTATTTCCCATTTGAATGTAAGCTCCACAAAGGCAGGAACTTTATTATATCCATTGTTGTATTTCCACTGGGAGGTACAAGGGGGACCCCCAAAATCAGAATTTATTTTTAAAACACTGCGTATTTATTCTTAAGTGTTTGAACATCAGTCACCTTCAAAGTACTCTTCACTTAATGCAATACATCTTATTGAGACATTTTTGAAGTGCTGAAAACAACTTTTGAACTCATTGACTTTGATGCCTTTTAATGCTTCTGCCACTTTTTATTTTACCTCTTCCACATAAGCAAAATGTTTCTTTTTGTGGAATTCTTTAATCCAGGGAAACAAAAGAAAGTTGCTTAGGGCAAGATCAGGTGAATAGGGAGGGTGGGGCAAGGCGCACCATGTTGCCTTTGGTTGAAAACTGCTGAACATTCAGTGCAGTGTGGGCTGGTGCACTCAGAAATAACCCATTGTGAAGTGGGAACATGTGCTGAAAGTCTTCAAAAAAATTCACTGAAGCTGAACACAGCCTCTCACAACAATGCCAGCGGATATGCACTGATGGGTTCCTAGAACGCTAACCTAGTTGGGGAAGAGTATACCACAAGAGGCTTACCCTCCAAAAGATAATTTTGTTTTTTTGGGAGGGTTCCTCCTCATACATGAAAAATATTTGCTAAATAAATGCATAGCATGAGTAAGCAGTTAAAATATAAAAATGGTATCGAGAATCTACATATTTGTATCCAAAATATACAAATTACCTCTTGATTTTAAAAATAATTTTCATTTATTTTTAGGGAGAGAGGAAGGTAGGGAGAAAGAGGGAAAGAAAAATCCATGTGTGAGAGAAATATTGATCAGTTGCCTCTTGCACACGGCTGAACCAGGGACCCAGCCTACAACCCAGGCATGTGAACTGACTGGGAATGAACCTGCAACCTTTCACTTTGCCAGACAGTACCCAACCAAGCCACACTAGTCAAGGTGCCTCCTGATTTTTTGTTTTCATAAAAATTTTGTTACCCTAAATCTTAATCCATATATAGTTATGACACTTGACTAGATCAATTAGTTATATTTCTTATTATTTTTAAAAATATATTTTATTGATTATGCTATTACAGTTGTCCCATTTCCCCCCTTCATTACCCTCTGCCCTGCAAACCCCCTCCCACCCACATTCCCCTCCTTTAGTTCATGTCCATGTGTCTTAATTTCTTTAGCTTTTATATTTCCCATACTACTCCTATCCTCCCCTTGTCTACTTTCTACTTATTGTCTATGCTACTTATTCTCTGTACCTTCTTCCCCCTTCTCCTCCTCCCACTTCCCTGTTGCTAACCCTCCATGTGATCTCTATTTCTATGGTTCTACTCTTGATCTAGCTGTCTGCTTAGTTTGCTTTTTTTTTACATATGGTTGTTAATAACTGTAAGTTTGCTGTCCTTTCACTGTTCATCTTTTTTATCTTCTTTTTCTTAGATAAGGCCCTTTAACATTTCATATAATAAGGGCTTGATGATGATGAACTCCTTTAACTTGACCTTATCTGAGAAGCTCTTTATCTGTCCTTCCATTCTAAATGAAGGCTTTGTTGGATAGACCAATCTTGGATGTAGGTCTTTGAATTTCATGACTTGAAATACTTTTTTCCAGCCCCTTCTTGCCTGCAAGGTCTCTTTTGAGAAATCAGCTGACAGTCTGATGGGAACTCCTGTGTAGGTGACTTTCCCCTTATCTCTTGCTGCTTCTAGGATTCTCTCCTTCATTTTAATCTTGGATAATGTAATTGTGATGTGACTTGGTATGTTCCTACTTGGGTCCAACTTCTTTGGGATTCTCTGAGCTTCCTGAACTTCCTGCAAGTCTATTTCCTTTGCCAGATTGGGGAAGTTCTCCTTTATTATTTGTTCCAATAAGTTTTCCATTTGTTGCTCTTACTCTTCCCCTTCTGGTACCCTTATAATTCAGATGTTGGAGCGTTTAAAGATGTCCTGGAGGTTCCTAAGCCTCTCCTCACTTTTTTGAATTCTTGTTTTTTATTTATTTTTTTTCTGTTTGGTTGTTTGTTTCTTCCTTCTGGTTCACTCCCTTGATTTAAGTCCCAGTTTCCTTTCCAACACTATTGGTTCCCTGTGCATTTTCCTTCATTTCACCTAGTGTAGCCTTCATTTGTTCATCTAATTTGCAACCAAAATCAACCAATTCTGAGCATCCTGATCACCAGTGTTTTGAACTGTGCATCTGATAGCTTGGCTATCTCTTGGTTGCTTAGATGTATTGACTCTGGGGCTTTGATCTGTTCTTCTGTTTGAGCCATTTTGGGGGGGGTCTGTTTGCACCTGTTACGTATGAGGGGCAGAGTCTTAGGTGTTCACCAGGGTGGGGCAACCCAGTTGCTGGGTTGTGATGCTATATGTGGGGGCAGGGTCTGAGAGGGAACAGTGATGTTTGCTCTACTCTTTGTTGGACTTCAGTCCCTTCTGCTGCTTCCCCCTAACAAACTGGACCTTTCTGGTACTGATTCCCATGTGGGAGGGCTTGTGTGAGTTCTAGGACTCTGTGGGTCTCTCCAAAAAACTCTCCTGTGAGGCTGGGAGTCTCTCCCTGTGCCTCAACTCCACAGGTTATTTTCAATCAGTGTTTTGAGGCTTTATTTCCCAGTGCTGGGACCCTGGGTTGTGCAATCTGTCTTGCTCCCCAGTTATCTTTGTGTGAACGTGGGACTACTGCCAGGTCAGTCAGCTGCCTTGCTCATGGTGCCCTGCTGCTCAGTCACCACCTTACTGGGTCTGCCCATTGCCATCCCATGCCCAGGGTCTTCCAGCTGCTGCCTGTGTGCCCAGGGTGTACCTGCTGTGTGTTGCACACCTGGGGTGCCTTGTGACCCCAGTGTCACTACTTTCTGTGCTGCAACCCCTCTCTGCTTAGCTACTCGACTCCACCCTGCCTACCAGTCTGGATGAATGTGTCTATTTCAGCTTCTTGTCTGTTTGAGTTCCATACAGTTTAATTTTATGTCCGTTCTGGTTGTTATTTTGTTTCTAATTTTTTGTTGTCCTTATTTTGGTTGTGCGAGGAAGCACAATGTATCTACCTACACCTCAATCTTAGCCGGAAGTGCCTTTTCTTATAAAGAATTACCAAAACAGAACTGTTATTTCTTATACCAAAACCTACCTGCACCTGTAAATCTACTCCTACATAATTATCTATAGAGTCCCAGTGAGAATGTTCAGATTAAGCATGCTACAAATGAGTAATTCTGTGCAGAATTATTGTACATATTAAAAAAACCAATGTATATTTAAGTCATTTGTTAATGCCTGCTGTGGTAAATAGACTTGGCTTCACTGAGGAGGAGCTCTGCATCGTAGAAGGGATGAATGGAATCTGAGCCAGAACACTGACTCACCAAACCGTAGTGGTATTTTCTGGGTGGACCTCTTGGGCAACCAATCCCAGTTATGTCTACTGTTTTTTTCTAAGTATCCAACTCAAAGTGTAATTTCAGTTCTTCCTTTAAACCGCAAATGCACAGCTGTCATCAACACTTGTTAAACAAGTTTCCTTTTAATTATCTTCTGCTAGTACACCCAGCCCTTAAAATCCCAGGTATTACTCTGGTTAGTGTATTTTCCTGAGAACCACTGATCAGGACAAAGAAGTACAGAAGTTTCCTTTACCTCTATCGACACCAACAGACCACATATCAGCACATTATGTATAGGTAAGTGGAGATTTGCTTGCCTAAAATTTTGACATAAAAAAAAAAAACTAAGACTATTTCCCCAGTAGGACTCCAACCAAGAGTTGTAGTATATTTTGAATTTTTTCCAGAGAACTTTTAATTTCCTGCATGCAAAAAAACCCTATCACATACATTTTTGTTTTAGAATCTGTAGTTTTGTGCAGTAGTTTGAGGAGAGCTTCAAAAGGTTCCTTGTAGCTTAACACCCTGTGGGTGAAAAAATAATAAGAATGTGTGACTGTGATAAAGTGGAGAGGAGAAAGTGGAGAGAAATTTTTTTCTTTTACAAATCAAGCATTGAATTGTTATTAGTGGTGATCATGGTCATGAGCCTCTTGCATTTTTTAAACATTTTGTGCTTTTTAAAGTGCTCTCATGAATATTGTCTTGAACTTTACAGTGCTATTGCTTCGTAGGTGTTTTCTGTAGAATCATATATAAAACCATGTATTTTATCTGTAAAACATTCAGAAATTAGAATGACATAATTATGTGTAGACATGTGTTACTTATTTTTATAGTATCTAACTAGGTAATTATGATATAAAGTGGACAATGATAATGCCACTTTAAAAATTTACTTATACCTTACAAGGTATTTTCATCAAAACATATGCAAAATAAAAAAATTAAGTGAACATAATTATAAAATATTTAATGTTCATATAACTTGGAAATATAAATGTATGCCTTATGCAAGTATTTTTCTAAAAATATTTATCTCAAGTCAACAGTTGAGTCTTTTAAGACACATACACACATACACACATACACATACTTTTAGAATATCAGTAATCATGTAAACATATAATTAGAAAAAGCATACTCACTGTGATACGATATACTAAGAACATTTCTTTCTTGAACTAAAGTAAATAATTTATTGCTACATATTCTTTTTATTTAAAATGTTATATTATTCCTACCAAGATGTATTCTTGGTATATGTAATCAAAGATGTATTAGCCACATCTCTGATCTAGCAGAAAAAATATGGTGATTTATCATATTTAAAAGTAGAGAGGAAACAGCATGATTTCTTTGTTTTGCTTTGTTTTGTTTTACCTATAAAGTAGTCATCACCTTTATTCTGGGTGGACGGTTTTCTCTTTATTTATAGGGCACCTCCCTCTTCTCCTTTAACATTTTAACACTTGTGTGAAGTCCTAATCTGAAAGATTTCAAAAGATTAAACCATTGTTTTAAAGCACTTGTAGTTACCTAGGAAAGCTCCAAACCCTAATTCAGTGGTTAGCTGCTCAAAGTGAAACATGAATCTGATTGTCCAGAAGAACTTGAGTAGACTTTGCCACATGGTTGATTCTGCAGGTACATTTAAACAGACCTTAATCAACCCTGTGGCTGCACTTGGCTGACTGAATGTTGAACAGCCAAAAGGAAGAAAAGGAACACTAGAATTGGAAGTCAAGACTTCAAAATCACATTTTATCAATTTTTTCTTACAGTTAGTCCTATAGGATAGAATTGGAAATATCTGAAATGAAAGCTGTGTTTTAGATACTTGTCAAGGTAAGAGTGCATGGTCAGGAGTTTTTTATGCCAAGATATAATTAATACTCTGGCTCCCCTTTCAGTAATTTTCCTTACATGATTGTTCAGAAGAATTTGTAGTATAGCCTATCAGTAACAGTGGAGAAATAGCTGAGAGATTTTTCTGCTTGGGAAGTCTGCCATTTTTCAGAAAGCTACTTAGTCTGTGTCATGGTTTGTAAGATCTTTAGGTTATGAGTTAAAGATTGTTACAACCCAGAGCTAGTCACAAGCAATAATCAAAATGGACAAAGAGGATAGGAAGAGAAATATAAAATTCTAGAGTGTTTTCAGTGAAAGACCATTAAAATAAGAAAGTCATTTTAGTTCTCTTTCAAACCATTATGTTTGAATAAATTTTAAGACATTTTATTTGATCATATTTTAATAGATTTAGGTTTGTTTATGTTTTTATTGAATACAAGTTCTTAAACTGTATAAATAAAAGAAAAAAATTCCCAAATCTATATGAAATCCTCTTCTGAGGTAAAGCTTTAAGAATAGAACTAATTAAATTAAGAAATGTACAAATATATCCCCAATTAAAATCCTATTAAGGAAAAAAAAAGAGTAAGAGTTCACGGGAGACAGAAAATTAAAGCAAGGGTGTGGAGTAAGGGTGTAGAGAGCCAAGCAATGAGCAAAGTGGTTTTGGTGAAGCTGAATGCTTATGAGATGAGGTAAGTTCTTACCCATCAATGAAATGTAAACAATAGTCTGAATTTAACAGTTAAGAAACATGAAGATGATTTAGTCTTTTAAAGACATCAAACAATAAGACTGTGAAATTCAGAAAGTGTATGAAAGATTGAGATAAATTAGTTATAGTTAGAATGGAAACAAATGTTTTTCATGAGAAATATCATTTTTTTCATAATATTTTATATAATGTGCACTATAATATACTAATCTCTCTTTACAGTTTTATTTCTTCCCTGTTTTTGGATGAGTCTTCAGTTGACATCTCCAGCTACATTAACTATCAGTCTTATATCTCTAGTTGTGTAAATAGAAATTTAAATGTCTCTAAAAATTAAGATATAAAATATTTATCATTTTTCTCCCCAAGTAACCTCTTTAAGGCTTCATTTACTCTATTTTTTGAGGCAAAAACTTTTGTCCTGTTTAACATATTCCCATTTTTTACCTATGTAGCTAACTAATTACCAAGTTCTTATAAATATTATACTATAAACTTTCTTAAATTCACCACTTTTTTTCTTGCTGTCACCATCTGGACCCCATCTCTACATTCCCAGGGATTGCAGTAGCCTCCTTACTCATTTGTCCTCCTCTTTCATTTCTATCCCTCTTTTAAACCATCATCATGCTGACTATTTACAGATTCTTCTCCTTAAGTACCACATGTCCCCATGAGAGTCATTTCTATAGTGCTAATCAAAACTTTTTTGATTAGTACTGAAGGCTTTCCATAATCTGTATTCCTCTGATCAATCTATTCTTCATGATCTAGTTGTCCTTAATATCCCTTGGCTTTACACATTCACTCCTTCAACAAGTATTATCTATAATGTGTTAGGCATCACCCTATACCCTGGGTATAACACAACAATCAGTAATGATCTGACTGCAAACAATAACATGGTCACAGCTAGAGATAAAATGACTGCCATATGAAAATAAAAAGTACTTTTAATGTAGATCCATAGTAGGGTAGGCCATGTAAGACTTCAGAAAAGAGGAGACGACAGAGTTGAGTACCTAAGTTTGAGTGGAAACTCACTGGGTAGACTTCAGGTGGACATTTTAGGTTGAAGACCAGAATGTGCAAGGTCATGGAGGTGTGAAAGAGTTGGGTTGCCCATGGAATTCTGAGTAGTTTGAAATGATTGGTACCTAAGTTAGAATCAGATAGAAATGTAAGTTTAAAAGTGAAATAAGGTGGTGGAGATGTTGACCTTAGACAGGAGTAATTTATTTATAGAAATATGAGGAACTAGCTGAGCGTCGGCTACAGATAAAGAGAAGTTCATAATAGTGAGAATGGAGCTGTAAATATTCTCCTCTGATGCCTTCTATTTTGTTGATGGACGAGGAAGTAAAGTTATCAGCTATTACTAGATGGAGCAGGTGGTGGTGCAGGTCTGAGAAAAAAAAGTATGAAATAGTTTTCAAAGAAAGTGAAAAAATCAATAAAGTATTTTTAAAAATCTTTTCCTTCTGAAAGCATCAACCCAATTTCTTTTTATCTGAAGTCTAATATATCATAAACACTTCCCCTGATATTACTTCAAATCTGAAAAATCTGACAATATGTCCTGGCTAGATTAAAGTTTTCAATATTTTTTGAAAAATCCATAGGACAAGCTGGCAGGCTGCAAACTCAAGTGGGACTTCCATATTACACTCCCAAGGCAGAATTCCATCTTTTCCCAGAAATCTTTTAGCTTTCAAGGCCTTCAACTGCTTGGATGAGGCCCAATTATTCCTTTATTATTGAGAGTAATCTCCTTTATTTAAAATCAAATGTTTATAAATGTTTATCACAGCTATAGAATGCCTTCACATCAAACTTGAGGCTAGTGATTGACCAAACAACTTGGCACCATAGCCTAGTCAAGGTTGCCATACAAAATTAACCATCCAATTGTCCAACTTCATCTTTGCCAATCCATGACTCACAGTTTGCTGCAAGAAAATTGAATTGTTGGTCATTCTTTAGCACTGCATGTTGTTTCTTCCTCCTGGACATGTGTCCATGCCCGTTTGTCTAGAAAGTTCCACACATCCCTATTTCAACTTAAGCAGAGGGTCTCAACACGTATTTGTTATATAAATGAAACACAGTGAAAATACCTCTTATTTATTGTAGGTTGAACATAGAAGGCTTTTCCATAAAGTATCTCTTTGAATCATGTTTTTAAACAAGCTAGTAAGAGACATGAACATTGCTCTGACACAATATAGTGCTTCATGTTTGTGTGTTCTTTGTATCCAAGGGGGGACCCCTCCAGAAAAAGAATTAACTTCTAGAGGGCAGGTCCCTTGAGGTACATGCTTCCCCCACACTATGTGAGTATTCTAGGAACACATCTGTATCAGTTTAGCAGCTGGTGTTGTTGTGAGATGCTGTGTTCAGCTTCAGTGAAATTTTTTGAAGACTCATTTGCTCATTTTATAGTGGATGATTTGTGAGCACTCCTGCCCACACTGCACTGAGTGTTCAGCAGTTTTTAAACAAAGCGGCACAACCCCTATGCCCCACCCTCCCTATTCACCTGATCTTGCCCTGTGCAATTTTTTTTGTTTCCCTGGATGAAAAAAGTCCCCAAAGGAAAACATTTTGCCAATGTGGAAGAAATAAAACAAAAAACCAATGAAGCACTAAAAGGCATCAAAATCAACAAGTTCAAGAATGGTTTTGAGGGACTTCCGTCAAGATGGAGGCATAGGTGGAGATGCCATGCTTCTTCACACAACCAAGTTTAGAGACAACTTAATAATAGCAACAGAAAATATAGCCAGAACACAGAAAATTGAACTTTTTGGAAGTCTGATAACAATAAAATCTTCAGCCTGACTGGTAAGAGGGGTGAAACCAGCAGCTGGCAGAGCGGGGTAGTACAGGAAAACTCGATCAGACGGACTCAGGCGCATGGAATTCAGGCGCAGGGTTGGACCTGGTGGGCAACTCAGCAAGCAATTGCGGGGAAACAGCGAGGGAGCAGGGCTGCGGGTTGACTGTGGTCCCGCATTCGAGTGTGGATAGACAAGCGAGGGAGTGGGCAATTGGACGAGAGCCAGCAGCCCCAGCGGCCAGCAGTGGCAGAGGGTGCAGCCATTTCCCCACTCTAACCCCGCCTCCACATACAGTCTCATAATCCAGCGACCTAAGTGGCCCTGTCCTGGTGAACAACCTAAGGATCTGCTCTTCACCCAGTGGCTCAAAAATGCAGAGGGGGTCGCCATTTCCCCACTCTGACCCTGCCTCCACATACAGAGTCACAACCCAGTGACCTGGAAGTCCAAGGCTCCGCTCCTCATACTTAACAGGCGCTAACAGACCAAAAATGGCTCAAGAAGATCTCAAAGCCCCAGAGCCTATAAATCTAAGCAATGAAGAAATAACAAAACTCTCAGACGCACAGTTTAAAACACTGGTGATCAGGATCCTCACAGAACTGGTTGATTATAGCCACAAATTAGACAAACATATGAAGGCGAAACTAATTGAAATGAATGGAATTGCACAGGAAACCAATAGCGATGAAAAGAAAACTGGGACTCAAATCAATGGAGTGGACCAGAAGAAAGCAAATAATGGCCAAACAGAAGAGAGTGAAGAAGCAAGAATTCAAAAAAATGAGGAGAGGCTTAGGAACCTCCAGGACATCTTTAAACGCTCCAACATCTGAATTATAGGGGTACCAGAAGGGGGAAAGGAACAGCCACCAGTGGAAAACTTATTTGAACAAATAATAAAGGAGAACTTCTTCAATCTGGCAAAGGAAATAGACTTCCAGCAAATCCAGGAAGCTCACAGAGTCCCAAAGAAGTTGGACCCAAGAAGAAACACACTAAGGCACATCATAATTACATTAGCCAAGATTAAAATGAAGGAGAGAATCCTAGAAACAGCAAGAGCTAGGGGGACTGTCACCTACAAAGGAGCTCCCATCAGACTGTCAGCAGATTTCTCAAAAGAAACCGTGCAGGCAAGAAGGGGCTGGAAAGAAGTATTCCAAGTCATAAAAGGCAAGGACCTACAACCAAGATTGCTCTATCCAGCAAAGCTTTCATTTAGAATGGAAGGACAGATAAAGTGCTTCTCAGATAAGGTCAAGTTCAAGGAGTTCATCATCACCAAGCCCTTATTATATGAAATGTTAAAGGGACTTATCTAAGAAAAAGAAGTTTAAAAAAACATGAACAGTGAAAGGACAACAAACTCACAATTGTTAACAACCACACCTAAAACAAAAGCAAACTAAAAGGACAGCTAGGTCAGGAGTGGAAACACAGAAATGAAGATCTCAAGGAGGGTTAGCAACAGGGGAGTGGGAGGAGGAGAAGGGGGAATAAGGTACAGAAAATAAGTAGCATAGACAGTAGATAGAAAATAGATGGGGGGGCAAGAATAGTATGGGAAATATAGAATCTAAAGAACTTGAGACACATGGTCATAAACTAAAGGGGGTAATGGTGGGGATGGGGCTAGGGTGGAGGGTAATGAAGAGGGGAATAGAACAACTTTAACAGCATAATCAATAAAAAAATAAATTTAAAAAAAGAATGGTTTTGAGCAGTGTAAAAAACAACTAGGTAGGTGTACTGCGTCAAATGGAGAGTACTTTGAAAGTGACTGAAGTTTAAACATGTAAGAATAAATACACCATGCTTCATAAATAAATTCCATCTTGGGGGGGTTCCTCTTGTATAACAAGAATATAATAAATAAGATTATTATTATACTTTAGAAAGTTATGATAGGTTTAGGCATAAGGAACTTCTAAGGCATTTTCATTCCCTATTCCTCTTCCCCTGCAACCTGGCAAATTCTTTACTTACTCATACTAACTCTTTTTACTGTCCATTGATCATGTGAAGGCACCAGAGGCAAAGTATGGATAGTCAACTTGGCACCAACCATCAGACCCCCAAGAGCTAATTTCATAGCACAGATCAAAAGAGGTTTGATCATAAATAGTAAGAAAAACTTACAGACTTTTGTTCTTTCCTCCCTTCCTTATTCCCTCTTCCTCCTCTCACTTTCCTTCTCTCTTTTCTTTTTCTTTCCTTTCCTACCTCCATTTCCTTGCTCACTCCCAAAATGTCTTTTGCTACCATTGTGCCTAAATTGTGGAGCTTCTAGACCTGAGCAAAAGGAAAGAGATGAATATTTGTAATGACTGACTTTTTTGATATATCCTTCACATTTACTTTATTTGCTTACAGACCAGTCACAGCTTCCCGCACGTCTTTGCCACTGTGGATGGTTGCCCTCATTGTGTTTGGAGTGTTGGCAATCCTGGGAATAATGATTGGTCTTCTGGTTTATTTTCTGGCAGTAGGTTGGTAAAGAATATATTTTTACTTATTATAGTTTATTGTAAACTTTATTTCCAATTCTACAAAAGAAAAAGACAGTAGCAAGACATGAATTACATCTATTTCAAATGTTTATTTCTGGGATCCCAGGTAGAAGACTGTATATCTTATAAGTATATGAATGCATAGATAGTTCATAGGTGGAAAAGTACCCTACCAAGATAGTATTATATAGGTTATTTTATAATTTTATAATTAAAATAAGTATTTTTGTGAAGAAAAAGAACCAAAGAATATTGTATTGCATTTTGACTAATTTTTATTCTTAATAAAATAATATAAAACTCCCTTTAACATAGATTAAAAAACTTTGAAAAGATAAGAATAGTTGGAGTTTTTTAAAAACCACAGTTTAACTTTAGATAGTACTGTATTTATATCCTGTCATGAAAGACAAAAAAAAATCAGCATACTTCTCATTTTTCTTCCACAGTTCCCTGCACTTTATTAGCAATATTATTCTTTTTTTAATATATTTTATTGATTATGCTATTACAGTTGTCCCATTTACCCTCTTCACTCCCCTCCACCTTGCACACCCCCTCCCATCCACATTCTGCCCCTTTAGTTCACATCCTTGTGTCATAAGTTCGTTAGCTTCTACATTTCCCATACTATTCTTACCTCTCCCTCTCCCATTTCCCATACTATTCTTACCTATTTTCTACCTACCATCTTCATTACTTATTCTCTGTACATTTCCCCCTTCTCCTCCTCCCACTTCCCTGTTGCTAACCCTCCATATGTTCTTCATTTCTGTGGTTCTGTCCCTTTTCTAGTTGTATCCTTAGTTTTTGTTTTAGTTGTGGTTGTTAATAACTGTGAGTTTGCTGTCCTTTCACTGTTCATCTTTTTTATCTTCTTTTTCTTAGGTAAGTCCCTTTAACATTTCATATAATAATGGCTTGGTGATGATGAACTCCTTGAATTGATCTTATCTGAGAAGCTCTTTATCTGTCCTTCCATTCTAAATGAAAGCTTTGCTGGATAGAGCAATCTTGGATATAGGTCCTTGTCTTTCATGACTTGAAATACTTCTTTCCAGCCCCTTCTTGCCTGCAAGTTCTCTTTTGAGAAATCTGCTGACAGTCTGATGGGAACTCCTTTGTAGGTAACTGTTTCCTTATCTCTTGCTGCTTCTAGGATTCTCTCCTTCATTTTAATCTTGGATAATGTAATTGTGATGTGACTTGGTGTGTTCCTCCTTGGGTCCACCTTCTTTGGGATTCTCTGAGCTTCCTGAACTTCCTGAAAGTCTATTTCCTTTGCCAGATTGGGGAAGTTCTCCTTTATTATTTGTTCAAATAAATTTTCTGCTTGTTGCTCTTCCTCTTCTCCTTCTGGAACCCCTATAATTCAGATGTTGGAATGTTTAAAGATGTCCTGGAGGTTCCTAAGCCTCTCCTCATTTTTTTTGAATTATGGTTTTTTTATTCTTTTCTGTTTGGTTGTTTGTTTCTTCCTTCTGGTCTACCCCATTGATTTGAGTACCAGTCTCTTTCCTATCACTGTTGGTTTCCTGTACATTTTCCTTCATTTCACTTAGCATAGCCTTCATTTTTTAATCTAATTTGTGACTGAATTCAACCAATTCTGTGAGCATCCTGATCACCAGTGCTTTGAACTGTGCATTTAGTAGGTTTGTTATCTCTTGGTCGCTTAGTTGTAATTTTTCTGGAGTTTTGATTTGTTCTTTTATTTGGGCCATTTTTTTTGTCTTGTTGCACCTGTTACCTATGAGGGACTGAGCCTTAGGTGTCCACCGGACGGGGTGGGGGGCAACCCAGTTGCTGGGTTTTGATGCTGTATGTGGGGGAGAGGTCCGAGAGGGAACAATGGCTCTTGTTCCTCTATCTTATGAATTTCAGTCACTTTCACCACTTTCCCCAAGCAAACTGGGCCCTTCTAATGTTGATTCCTCTGTGGGTCGGTTTGTGTCTGTCCTGGGACACTATGAGTCTCTCCAGTGAACTCTCCTGTGAGGCTGGAAGTTTCGCAGGGCACCTCAACCCCCAGAGGTGTTTTCAATTGGTGTTTTGAGGCTTTATTTCTCCAAGTTGGGAGCCTGGGTTGCACAGTCTGTCTCATTCCCCAGTTTCATCTGAACGTGAATGTGGGATTGACTGGTTCTGCAAGTCACCTTGCAAACTACGCCCCTCCACAATTTGTTGCCTGGCTGGGTTCGCCTGTTGCCACCCTATGTTCAAGGTCCACCAGCTGCTGCCTTGCACACCTGGGGTCCACCAGCCACTGCTTTTTTTTTTTTTTTTGCTGTGACCCCTCTCTGCCAGGCTGCCCAAATGCACGCCTTCTACTGGTGTGGATGAAAGTGTTTACTTTAACTCCTTGATTGTTGGACTTCCATACAGTTCAAGTTTCTGTCAGTACTCATTGTTATTTTGTTTCTAAATTGTTGTTGTCCTTATTTTGGTTGTGTGAGGAGGCACAGTGTATCTACCTACACCTCCATCTTGGCCGGAAGTTCCTTGCAATATTATTATTTTTACATTATCAATGTTTATAACACTTTCTCCTGCTTGGTTATCATAATTACTATTTTTTTAGTTTTGAATATGTTTTTATATATATTTAGATTGAGCATATACTCACCATTAACTTTTTTTTATGACTTTGTCATGATTGGATTTTTACCTATAAAGCTATATATACTCATAATTTTGAGTTAAATTGGCAGACATTTTATATTAAAAATAGCTTTTCCTCTTTTATTTTCCATTTCTCAGAGGCAACCACTTTCAACTCTTTTCAGTTGATTCATAATCTTGTTATATCCTAATTTTTCAGTTATTGGTTTTATCTATTCATTTTATATTATGGAATATGAAGTTTCTGTTATCATTCACATCCTGACAACATAGCAGTCCACTTGGGATTTTCCTTCATTAAGATGGGGATTAAGTACAACACTTTCCATTGTGTGTTGTACTTAATTTCTTAATGCCTGCATTTCATATTTCCTTTTTGTTATTTTATTCACTCAGTTGTGGTGGAGTGTATATTGTAGGTGTTTTGTGAGAAGTGTATATTTTTGACAATTTGCATGTCTGAAAATATCTTAATTCTACTCTTAACCTTAATTAATAGTATAGAATTTTAGGTTGAAAAAATTTGTCCCACTGAAGACAAAGCTGTCATCCTTTTGCTTTCAAAGTTTCTCTCAAGAAGTCTGATGACATTTTGATTCTAGAGATTTTGTAGAAAATCTCTTTTCTCTGAACTTCTGCAAACTTACTGGATCTTCTTCTGTATCCCCACTGTTTAAAAATTTCATGATAATGTGACATTGTCTAGAGCTTATTTCCACTCATTATGCTTTCAGTGTAGAAACTCGTAGGCTCCAGTTCCTGAAAATTTTCTTAGATTATTTCTTTGATAATTTACTATTCTTTTTATTCTCTCTCTCTCTAGAGATCCTGTAATTTGGATATTAGGCCTCCTAAATGTTGACTCTAATTTTCTTACACTTATCTTTTTATTTTTCCATCCTTAGGGTTTTTTTATTTAAATCACTTCTTGGTTATTTTCTCATGTTTTTCAATCCATTTATTAAATTCTTTATTTTTTCTATTATAGATTTAATTGGTAAGACTTCTTCTTTACCTAACTATTCATTTATACAGCATCTTAATTTTACTTCTTAAAAAAATCTTCTCTGAATATGATAATTTGTTTTAATTTTTCATCTCTTTCAATATTTTCTTTACTTCTTTTGGTAGCACAGTATACTCTTGAATGACATGAGGGTTCAGTGCTGACATGATGTGTGGCCTAAAACACACATATAACTTTTGACTCCCCCCAAATTTAAGATGTACATTGGTATCTATGGGCATTAGTTCCAGGGATATAAAAATCCAAGGATGCTCAAGTCCTTTATATAAAATGGTGAACATAAATGCATATGTTTGGACCTCTACTAACAGTACAAGTATTTATTTTAAAAAATCAAGTTTAAGTGGACCCACAGAGTTCAAATTCATGTTGTTCAAGGGCCAACTGTACTTCATATTACATACTTTTCTCAAGTATATGTTTATCTTTTAGTATCTTTTAATATTTAAGATTGGAAATTAAAGAACTAACTGCAAGCTCTTCATGAAATGAGTGTTGACAATGGCATTTTGTATAGACTAGCTAGGTTTTGTTTAAAGAACCCAAATTACCAATATATTTAGGTATCTTCTTTTGGATTGGTCAGAATTCCCAGATGGGAAAACAAGCTTATCTTGTGTTGGGGGGCCATGTTCTGGGCTGCTGGCTCTCTTTAGTCAAGATGAGATAGAAATCCACCATATAAATTTCAGTACAATGCACCTTGCCCTCAACTGTGTCTCAGTGACCCTCTGAAAAGAGCAGTTGGGGAAGATGCTGGGATCTAGCTGTTTTGGTCAATCTTCCTTGCTTTCACCTCTACTTTCCAAGCTGCTTGGTGCTGTTTAGGGTCTTTTGGTTTAAAATGGCACAAATCTTTACTTCCCCCACTGTGGTGCTTTTTATCCTTCTGCTTCACCACATCCAGCTTATCTTAGTGCTGTGTTCATCCTGTATCATTTTTTTCTTAGAACACAGTGCGGTCTTTTAGGCTACAGATTCAAATTTATTTGTTTAGTTATTTTCAGGAATATCAGCTATGCACTTTTTATGTCTCCATGGCCTCTGATATTGTTCATTCTTTCAACAATAATTTTATATTTATATTGTCTTTCTTTTTCATTTCATCTTGTTTCTTTTGCTCAAATTTGTCCTCCATGTCACAATATATTTAATCTGTCAGTGGCTTTCAATGTGGCTTTTATCTATAATACTTTTTCCTTCTTCCATGTCTTTACCAAACTTTCCAGATTTTCTTTCACATTAAATTGTTGTATATTATGAGCTCCTTTACTTTGCAAGATCTTTAAGACAATAGGAAATAGTAGTTAAAACTCTTCCTCGGGTCCCTTAATAATTATACAAATTTCCTACTGGATCCTTTGCAATCATTATTTATTTTTCTCGATTTGAGCAAGACTGTTCTCATTGGATTACTGTGGGAAGTAAGTCTAGTGGTGGCTCATAATATAAGCTTTGCAGCTTATATTTTGTTTTGTCTTCTCAAACATTCTCTTATCCAGTCTGTTACTTTCTTTAACACTAGGGCACATTTACCTTCAGTTTTGAACACTTAAGATGCAGGATGGCCCTTAGCATAGCTCCTTAATTTACACTCTCTTAATTATGGTAGAATGATCCTGACTTCTTCACTTCTCCACCCCAGCTAAGCGTCAGCAGGTTGCCTTGGCTGGGAGATGAGATTGTGCATAATAAAAATGGTACAGTAATATGGTGACATGTTTTTGTTTCACTGCTGTCATTCTGCAGTGTGAAAATAATCAACTCAACTTATGAGGAGATGAATCTGTGTTCTATATTATTTCTCACTTTAATATGCATTTCCCAGTTTTTGATATACTTGCTTCATAATTTTTGGTTTGGAGTTATGACTGTTTTTCCCCCCTTGGAAATGAACCCTCCAGCCTTGTCTTTCCCCCAATGCCCAGGGATTAGAAGCAGAAGAATGTAGAAGTGCTTATACTCTGAGAGCTTTATATAAATGTTCTCATAATTCATGCCTAAATTCTTACATTGAATAGAGAACTCTTCATATAGACTAAACAATTTTTTAAAATCATGTGTTTGTGTAAATTTTCTTTATAGAAATAAGTTTAAAGTAATCACATTATGGAAAAGTTGTAAAACAAGTTCTTGCTTTCTGCCCCTTGTCCATCTTTCTCAATTTATACTGGTATTTAAACCACCTATGTAGATGAGAATGTTAATCATAAGGCACAAGTGAGACTTATCAATATCCCATCTTTAAGGGGTTATTTTAATCTCACCAAATGCCACCAGAGGACAATGGCTGGGTATGCACAGTGGCCTCATCATAGTGAGCAATCTCAGGATTGCTGCATAGAATTAAAAATATGATACTGAAGAGTTGATTTCCTTGTTCCAGAATATGGTTTTTAGTCTTAAATGTCTTAGATATTATATATTTAGTTTATCTACAGTACCTGTGGAAAATGCTTCATGCATTTGAAATAAAAATTGTTTAAATCTTTCCAATTTATTTTTATTGAGAAATGTTAATGAGTTTATAATTGCTATAGTAGATAGAAATATTTAGGAATTTAATTTAAAAAAACTGAAGTATTCATTGTGAAAAGTAAATTATAAAAATAAAGTTGAATCCTTTCAAGGTCTATTTTTGCTACTTATGGTAAAACATAATAAACTACAACTGCAAAGCTTGGTCTCCACAGTAGAGGATTCATTAGTTACAGACAAGCTAACTACAATTAATAATTTTAATTCACAAATCAGAGTTCCAGCCAAGATGGAGGCATATGTAGATACTCCTTACTTCCTCGTACAACCAAAATAAGTGTACAACCAATTTAAAAACAAAAACAACCAGAACTGCCAGAAAATTGAACTGAATGGAAGTCCAACAACCAAGGAGTTAAAGAAGAAATATTCTTCCAGACTGGTAGGAGGGGCAGAGATGTGCAGTGGGCATGAAGAGGAATTGAGGCAGGGTGGCTGCTGGCAGACCAGGTGGGCAAGGCTGATGCTGCAGTGGCCAATCGACCAGTACCATGTTTGCCTGCAGATAAACCAGGAGGAACAACTGGGGAGTGAAAAAGAACATGCAACCCCAGATTCCTGAATGAGCAAGATAAGGCCACAGAACTTCAGTAAAAATCTGTGGGGGTTGTGGTGGTGGCAGAAACTGCCAGTCTCTTGAAAGTGGGGCAAGAGCCAAGCAATTGGCACTATTCCCTTTCTGGCCCTACCCACATATGGCACCAAAATTTGAGTTGCTCCATCCTGGTGAATACTAGGGCTCTGCGCCTTACAACACAACAGGTACTCTGAGACAAAAAAGAATATATGGCCCAAATGAAAGAACAGATAAAAATACCAGAAAAAGAACTAAGCAATGAAGAGATAGCCAATCTATTAGATGCAGAGTTCAAAACACTGGTAAGCAGGATGCTCACAGAAATGATTGAGTATAACCACAATATAAAAAAGAAGTGAAGGCTATACAAAGTGAAATAAAGAAACATATACAGGGAACCAATGGTGAAAGGGAGAAAACCAGAACTCAAATCAATGATTTGGAACAAAAGGAAGAAATAAACATTCAGCTGAGACAGAATGCAGAAATAAGAATTTAAAACAATGAGGAGAGGCTTAGGAACCTCTGGGAAAAACTTTAAACATTCCAACATCTGAATCACAGTAGTGCAAAAAGGAGAATGGGAAGAGCAAGAAATTGAGAACTTATTTGAAAAAATAATTGAAGAAAGCTTCCCCAATGTGGTGAAGGAAATAAATGTATAAGTACAAAAAGCTAAGAGAATCCCCAAAAAGTTGGACCCAAAGAGGAATATGCCAAGATACATCATAATTAAATTACCCAAGATTAAAGAAAAGGAGAGTATTTTAAAAGCAGCAAGATAAAAAGGAGACAGTTACCTACAAAGGAGTTTCTATAAGACTATCAGCTGATTTCTCAAAAACAAAATAAAAAACAAAATAAAAAAAAACCCTTACAGGCAAGAAAGGGCTGGCAAAAAGTATTCAAAGTTATGAAAAGCAAGGACCTACATCCAAGATTACTCTATCCAGCAAAGCTATCATTGAGAATGGAAGGGCAGATAAAGTGCTTCTCAGATAAGGCCATGTTAAAGGAGTTCATCATCACCAAGCCCTTATATGAAATGTTAAAGGGACTTATCTAAGAAAAGGAAGATCAAAACTATAGACAGTAAAATGACAACAAACTCACAACTATCACAGCTGAACCTACAAAAACAAAAACAAGCTAAGCAAATAAAGTAGAACAGCAACAGAATCACAGAAATGGAGATCAGATGGAGGGTTATCAGTGGGGAGGGTAAGCAGGAAGAATGGGGCAAAACGTGCAGGGAATAAGAAGCATAATTGGTAACAAGAAAATGAGCGGAGGTTAACAGTAGTATAGGAAATGGAGAAGCCACAGAACTTACATGTGCAACCCATGGACATGAACTGAGGGGGTCAGAAATGCTGGAGGGGAAGTGGGTACTGGGCAGAGGAATATTAAGGGGAGAAGAAAAAGAATGGGACAAGTATAATAGCATAATCACTAAAATATACTTAAAATAAAAAAATAGAAAAGCAAAAAATTTTGTTTGCAAATTACTGTTTATAACCGATCAATTTTCAGCATTTTGTTTAGCACTCTCTGGCATTTTTTACCATCACCTTTCTCACTATGAAATATTTTTACTACATTTAAAATGACAAATTATAATTTAAATAAGGTATCTTTCTCCTCTGAATTCATGTAGAACGAATAGTTGAAAAATTAACTTTACTGCTTTATATCCTTATTAGTACCTCATTATTAATGATTTAATCCATATTGAGACTCTTCCACAAGATGGTTTTGAAAGGCAATGATTATATTGCAAATTAATATTAGCATTTATTTAATGCTTATTATATGCTACGCATTGCCACACTGTATCTAGCACATTCCTAGATGCTTAATATCTATCACATAAGAGGTATAATACATCATATATTGAACAGCTTTGTATCTATACAAGTTTAGGAAGGAAATGTAATGGATTATGTTTGGGCTTTGGACTCAGACAAATCAAGTTTTGATTCTTGATTCTTCTTTGTAGCTCTACGATATTGAATAAGACTATATTTCTCTGAAAAGGGAATATTTCCTATGCTTCTTATAAAGTATCTTAACATAGTAAATAATAAGTAGTAACTCTTTTTATTCAATATGACAATCAGTTATTCCAGACAGAAATCTTATTTATATTATAAGGTCCTAGCTGTCTCAGTCAAGATGTGACCACTCTTTCTGACCTTTGTCTGATATATATACTTCATCTGTGATCTTATAAAGAGTTTCCACAATGCCCAGTTTGTCTAATCAACCATACCAGAAAGATTCACAGCATTTATCAATATCTAATATGAGCACAATACTTGCTAGGTGGTATTACTACATAATCTACATCTGGATTGGAAATTCATTTCCTTAAATAATTCTTGGATTGTTTCTTTACCTCACAGAAAACACGGTTTATTACTACCAAGGTAGATTTACAGTGTTGGATATCTCACACAATGAAAATTATGCAAGAGAGACATCACCAGAAAATAACTATCTTAGCAAAATTCTTGAGACTAAGGTAAATTAGTATTTTTCTATGTTTACTTGATTGTTGATTCTCTGAAATATAAATATACTAGTGGAATTTGATGTTTGACTCTGTGTTTTCTTTGACAGATGGCTGATGCATTTCAGAGTTCTAGCATTTATAGACAATATATCAATTCTCAAGTCATTACACTGGAGTAAGTAATTACTAATAACAGAAAAGAGATCACCCTACCATACCTACTATTTTGCTTAAAATTTTCCTGTAAAAAAACAGTCTATTGATGTTATAGTAATTAGCCAATGAGATACTAATATTTAGCATTATCCTAAGCTAGGTGTCAGATTTATTTTTCAGTATAAAACTAAAGCAAAGATTGGGCATTATAACTGAGTTCATTAGATCTATTGATAATGTATCAATCCTTAAATTACAGGTAAGGTATCCTTCTGATTTTTTAAATTTTTACGTTCAGAAAACATTAGGTGGTCTCAGACCAATGTTTGATGTTCTGACATTTTTGTTTAGCAGTAGCGTAAATACAGCCCTTGTTTTCTCCCATCTTTCTCCTTGCAAGTTAGCTAAGCACCTTACAGAACAGTCCTAGAGTTCATATAGGGTGGAAAAGAGTATATTGATAGCACATTTTGATACCAAGGCAATACTTCTAGTCACCATAACAATATGTAAAATCCTTATGCTGTGTTCTTTGCATATGGATTTGAAGTAGTAACAAGTAACAGAGGGAGTCTAGAGTAGTCATTAGGCAACCTGAGCCCAGGCTTTGCCACTTAGTAGCCCTACAGCATTGGGAAAGTTACTATATCACTTTGAGTCATGTCTCCTATTTGTGAAATATTGATGATAACACCTACTTCACTCATGAAACTGTACTCAGGATCAAGGAAGATAATATGCATGGAACAATTTGCAAATAACTCCATTTCAAGTGAAGGGAATTGTTGCTTTTACCTTCATCAATTCCACCAGACTATGTCCTCATTTCCATTTCTCCTGGAAGTCACAGGACTGCTAAAATTGTAGAATAAGTCAAAATTTCAACTAGCATTAACATTGGTGGTCAGCTTCCATACTGGAAAGATATAGGAGATTAAAATTAAAGGGCCCTTGTACCTCTCAGACCACCAAAGACTTTCTCGTTGTTTTCTTATGCATGTAACTTCAGGTATCTATAGGAAGTGACGGAGAAGCAGTTTCTCATTTGGGCACACCCTATTCTAATCATCTAACTTGAATGAGCTGTGGGCTTTCTAGGAATGATTATTGATTTATATGCCAAATGGTTGATAGTCCATTAAGGGAATCTAATGTATAATAACGCCACTTCAGACACTAGTCTCAGGGCTGCTTGACAATTCCTACATACCCATTGATCAGCCTCTGGGCTGCCCCTTCTTTCCCTAGTTTCATACAAATCAGCCCTGAGCACCACAGTTAATCTTCCTCAAGTGTAAGTTAACTCAGGTTCTCTTCATTGCTACTCTTTGGCTAGCATTAAAAGCGTCCTCCACCTAAGTCCAATCTTCTAGACACTGTTGTCGCTGGCTGACTGGGCACATGGAGACAGAGGGCAGAGTATAAAGAGCCTGGGTTATGGAGTCAATCATACTGAATCTGTATCGTAGTTTAGTAGCTGTGTAACCTGGAACAAAAGCTCGAGCCTCAATTTTTCCTTGTCTGTAAAGATAATGACACCTGTGCTTCAGGGTTGTAGTGGACACTAAGTGTGATAATGAATGTGATAACCAAGTGTTTAGAACACAGCAGATGACCAATGAATGCGAAGTAATGTTATTGCATTCTAGTTATTCTAGAATACTAGTCCTCCTTGTCTCTGTCCGATGAAATTTTCTGCTTGAGGATAAAGCAGCAAAAAAAAAAATACTTAAGGGCCAGTGTGTATGTCACCTGTTTTATGACAATTTCTCTGATCTTTTAAGTAAAAAATGACTTATCCTTTTCTTAGTATCAGAAGGTAAGATAAATATCTTACCATGCTTGCCTTATATATCATAGTAATTTGTATACATTCTTTATCTCACTTAGAAATCTGGACATTTTTAGAGAATAGGAAATGTATGTTAGTCATCCCCGAATCACCCAAAAGCACCTAGCTCAGTTGTTCATCCACAGCAATTGTTGAGTAAATGATGAATGAATGTTTGAATAAATAATCCCAGTTCTTCTACCCTGTGCCTCAGGCCTTTTCTATTTTTCAGATTTGTAGAACTACTTATCCTCTAAACTGAATATACAGCTGTGTGCATACTGTCACCAACTAAATGTGATTAAAGTGAAGGTACTGCACAAACCCATAAAAAAGCAGAAGAAATCAGGATATGAAAGATCAGGAAATGAGGAAGGCAATGCAATTTTTCAGCAACATATGACACCTTTATGTCGTTTCCAGTCCTGATAACAACAGCGTGATAGCACACATATGGCTGATATTCAAGTCTCCCAAATCAATGAAGGAAAACACAAGAAGAAAAATTGAAACCATCCTACATCAGATGCTGAGTAGCCACTCAGGATCCTTGAATATAGATCCTGATTCTCTTAGGCTGACAGGTAAGGGTATGTATTAGATGAGAGCAATGCTACTTTAATATTTTTATCCCTAACACACATCACGAGCACTGGAAACAAAGCTGATCCTCAATGTTTTTCAAAAAATGAATGTCACTGTTTTACATCAGAGCAATAATTTGTATTCATTATTAAAACACATTCAAATAATAATGCTACATCTAAAAACTGGTTTTGGTGGGAAAAAGCTGCTTCTCATTTCAAAGTGCATAGTAAGACTTTGAACAGTTCCTATAAGTAATGGTGTTTCTTGCTGTTCTTTCTATGGTCTCCTATAATTTTCAAAAACAGCACAGGATCTGCTATTATGACAGGTCAATTTTAAGTTATTTTCTACACTAACAGGAATCATTTTCACTTGTGGGAACTTCTTGTTTTTTCAAAGGAACTTACTGGCAATTTTCTACTCTAGATGACATAAAATACTATTCCATCTAAATAACAATAAGTATCTCACCTAGAACTATGAAGATGTTATTTCCATTTTATATTCTCATCAGTAAAAGAACAATTTGAATAAACCAATGTTCTCTCCTTTCTAGTGACATTTTATCCTAAGATTCCAAATTATTTCCAGACCCTCCTGCTCTGCTCGACCTAACATCTCACTCCATTGGTCCCAGGGCTAGTAGACTAAAGGTAGGTGTTAAATTTACCACGTCATTTTTGTTCTATTTCAGAAATCAGTAAGACCACTGCTGAAAAAATTATCAACAACCGTAAGTTCAAATAATTTTAATTAATATATGAGACAATCTGAAACATAAGTCAAGATTTGTTTCTCTTGTTTAGGCACAGTTCTAAGTGCTTGACACACAACTTAGTTAATCCTCACAACCATTCTAGAAATAGGTATTGTTATCATCCCATTTTAGAGATGGTGAAACAGAAGCACAAAGGAGTGACATAATTTGCCTAAGTTCAACCAGCTGGTAAAAGGTGGGAGTGGAATTCAAACCAGAGAGTATGGCTGCAGAAGCCATGGACTTCACTATGACTTTATATTTCTCCTACAGCTTTTACATTCTTCAGGGGCTGAGGTGTCTTGGAGGTCCTAGGATGGGTATGGAGGTGACTCGGGGCTGCTAGGGATTCCTATGCAAATTACCCTGCCCCTATAAGTGTGAGATATTGTCAGACAGAACCATACAAGAATAATTCACTTCACTCTCAGCTTTGTAATCAAACAAACATTATTTTTTCATTCTCGATGGAACAAACTGACTTCCTCTGACAGGCTGTGGGAGACGAGCAAGGATGTCAGCTACACATGATAGAGTCAGGGGAGGTTCCAATGCTCGGGAAGGAGAATGGCCCTGGCAAGCAAGTCTCAAAATCAACGGCCGACACTACTGTGGGGCATCTTTGATCGGTAAAAGACACCTGGTGACTGCAGCTCACTGCTTTCAAAAGTAAGTTCATCATGTTGACAAAGTCTAGGGAGACCGAAACTTCCTGAACATTTTCCAGTTGATACTTCTTATCCTAGTTCAATGATCAGTAGCACTCCCTTTCATTATCAAAAGTATCCTAGAAGGTTTGGAAGACAAATTATATGGTAAGCCAATCTCAGGCTTTCCTTAGGTTCCCAGTAAGTAAGAATGGGAAGTCACTCATTTGCAATACAACATATTTATTGCACACAATTCTTATCTCACATCACGTTACACTCCAGCCATCCCAGACTACTTGTAGTTGCTAAGACATGTTATTCTGTTTCATACCTCCCTCCCCCTCGGTGCATGCTTGTCCCCCTCTCATCTTGCAGGCAAATGGGACTTGGCTCTATAGTTTCTTCCAAAATGCTACTTTCCCTGAGAAGTCGTCCATTTCCTAGATCCTGCAGATTTAAATCCTCCTGTTTGTGGTCTAATTATATACACAACCATTTAAGCAAATATAACTCGCCATGTTTACGCCATCTTTCATTAGGCTTAATTTTTTTGAAGGCATTGGTTATTTATCTTTCTTTCTATATCCTCTTGCCTTACACAGTGTATAGTGTAGAGACTCAAACAAGGTTTTAAAATTAATTTCCAAATCAGATTGTATCACTGTTAATGGATTTTGAAGCAATGAAACTTAATGTGATGAAAAGAGTATGATTAAGTGCAGGCTGTATTTTTATTATTTTGAAATAATACAAAATTTTTGTTTCTTTAGGACACATAATCCAAAAAACTATACTGTCAGCTTTGGCACCCTTGTAACTCCACCATATATGCAACATTATGTTCAACAAATTATTATTCATGAAAATTATGTCTTGGGTGAACATCACGACGACATTGCAGTTGTACTGCTCACTGAAGAAGTTTCACTTAACAACGATGTACATCGAGTTTGTCTTCCAGAAGCCACACAGATTTTTCCACCAGGTGAAGGAGTTGTTGTTACAGGATGGGGAGCACTTTTTTACAATGGTAAGTCCAGCGAACACTCAACACAGTATATAAGGTGTTGAACACTCAAAAGCAACAAAAAAAATTAGCGATCTAGGTACAGAGTTAAAGGCATTATTTGCCTCTGGATGCCCAGTACTCCCGGGTATTCTCTCAGGAAATGCTGCATATGAAGTTATGATTCTGTAAATTGCCTTGGCTTAGAACATCCCAAGAAGACCAATGTGTTTGTGAAAACTCTGTAAACTGGAGAACCTAGTTAAAGCAGTTCTTGTCCAAAGATGTAAAAAGAGAGACAAGGTTACAGAAAGGCAGCATTAGGAAGATGTTCTGACTTATCCTCTGGACATTGATTTTTCATTTGTTTGGCTACGAGAGGTAAGTGGGCTTTTTTAGCTTAAGAATAGGCCAGACTCAAATATAGATCTTATATATAAAGAACGAAACAAATTTTCAAGCCTGCTTCATTTCAGAGCAGCTCTTTTGCTGAGAATGTTTATTTCGTTTAGGTGACTACCCATTGTTACTTCAGAAAGCACCTGTGAAGATTATCGATACAAACACCTGTAATTCTAGGGAAGCATATAATGGCATGGTGCAGGACACGATGATATGTGCTGGATACATGGAAGGAAATATTGATGCTTGCCAGGTAAGTCTGGACATTATTCACATTGACCACACAATAATTAGTAACTGCTATTATTTTATGAAAATTACCAACATGGAGATAATTTTATGCTTCAATGAATTTGAATTTTTCTTTTTTAAAATTTTAATTATTATTCAAGCACAGTTTTCTGTCTTTTACTCCTATCTCAGCTCACCCCCACAGTGTGGTGAAAGACAAATAAATACCATATGATCTCACCTTAACAGGAACCTAAACAACAAAACAAATAAGCAAGCAAAATAAAAACCAAGACACTGAAATAGAGAACAGGCTGACAGGAACCAGGGGGGAGAGGGGAGGAAATTTCAGGGGAAAAGGGGAAGGATTCACAGGAACTAGTATAAAGGACACATGCACTGAATTTGAATTTTGACAATCCATTCAAACTCCCTTAGCTTTGGCACTAATGTATTTCTTCCCTACATGCAACATGTGTTTATAGAATTAAAGTATTAAAGAATCACTTATGTTGGACATACAATGAGTCAAGCAAAGACTGAAGTCCTTGACAGATATTATTCAATTTAATCCTCCTTGTAACTTTGTGATGTAGCTATTATCATTATATCATTTTATAAATAATGAGACTGAGGCAGTAGAAGGTAAAATAATTTGCACAAGGTCACACAGCTATTAAGTGAGAAAGCTGGCATCCAAAGCAAAGTAATCTAGCATCATAGTCTGCAGTATTAATCACATTTCAATAAAGAATCAGTATCAGGAAGATTTAAATTATTTCAAGGCCATTTCTTTTGCAGTTTTAGCTTCCTCATGGCTAGGGGTCTGGCTTCTTTTCTCAGATATGAAGCCTTAAACTCCAAATATACAAATAATATATGTCTCCCAAAGCTTTCTCATAGAACTAGACCTTATAACTTCAAGGTCAATTCCAGAGAGCCCCAGAGAATATATTTTGGCCAGTCACAGTTATGATTATGGATGAAATAAGAATTTATACCATGTAACTTCATATGGTCTCTATTACACATGAATCATAAACATCAGCTGGGCTTTTCATTTAGGGCAAGTAAAGTACGTGAGAGTAAATTGTCACAATGGTAAATATTCTTTGTTTTATTTAGGGTGACTCTGGAGGTCCACTGGTTTACCCCAATTCTCGCAATATTTGGTACCTTGTTGGAATAGTGAGCTGGGGAGAAGATTGCGGTAAGATCAATAAGCCTGGTGTCTACATGCGAGTGACTGCCTATCGCAACTGGATTGCCTCCAAGACTGGTATCTAAGAGAAAAGCATCTTGTCGAAATTATCTTAGGTCATTTTTACCCATTACTTCTAAGCCTTATATAACATACATTTAAAACTAGTGTATATAATGTTTTTTTAGAAAAAAAGTATTGTCTTGAGAAAATATTTATGAACTTTATTTAATATTAAGCAGACTCTACAAAACAAGAAATTTCATGTTTAGTTAAGAAGGCCTAAGCAAAAAAAATGCTTTTATCAAAAACTGACTATTATTATTTGCTTTGTATTTTATGTACCCACATCATGGTTCTTGCACCATAGCATAATGTTCTTCATTTTAGGCATTTGGACTTTGTGGAATTATAAAAATACAATTTTTCTTGTCCATTGTAAGTTACCAGGCAGCACTGCCGAGTAGTGGGTTGGACCATGTTGTACCTGCCTTCATGTCAAAGTTTTTGTGGAAGGGGTGTAGTTATAAACTAAATCATGTCAGAATTTAGGCACTGATTTAGAGTCTTTTATTTCAGGTGCTGAGTAACTCTTTCAGTCAAAGAATTTCACTCTCAGCAAAACTGGGTGAAACAATACATTTAGATTTATAGATACCAGGTGCACTAATTCTTCAATGTTGATACAGGTTTCTGTAGGAATTCTTTATTTGAACTATGAATAGAAAATGCAGCTGTGAGCCATGGAAATGTGTAATGTATTTTAATTAAAACAAATTTAAAAGCAGACTATCTTTGTTTAATATGACAATTTTACTCTCTTTTTGTTTTTTTGAGTCTTTTGCAGGTGACTTTCTGTCTCTCTCTTCTTTTCTGTTATTGCTTTCACTTGGTCAGTGGCTTAAGAAAGGGCCACAGGATAGTTAAAAAGCTACCCAGAGGCAGAAAGGAAAGTCTCAGGAAGACCAGGTGGGTGCAGTGAGCAGTTCCTCAAAGGCCACTGGCACGAAGCCTCCTAGTCAGGTTGTCTGAAATGAGGCTATCTCAGCCAGAGTTGGGGCTCAACAGCTCGTAGAGTTTGCTCAGATGGTCACCTATCCTCCCATGAGTGTCAGCTCTGGGTCTAGGAAGTGGTTCTTCTAGAAGCAACAGAGATGAGCATCCATGCAGATAAAGCCCAGGACAGGCCTCATCTTCTAGACCAAGGAGGTTTTCATGGCATGCAGGCTGCTACCTCACCTATCTTAGGATGGCTTTTGAACTTCCTGGAAAAAGGCTCAGTTGCTGTTGTGTTTTCGCATCTTCAAGAGATGCAAGGCACCCTGCTTCTCCTAATCTACCTCTGGGAAGAGTGGTGCAAGTGGTCCAGGGCCACGTGATCCGTGGATATGGAGGCCTGGAGAGAGGTAGTTCAGGGAGGCCTGCAGAGGCCGGCTGACCAGCCTCTGAAGTCAGCCTTCACTTTGGAGGTATAATTCTGGCTGATCCAAGGGCTCATGGTTCATTGATGACTAGAGGCCAATGATACACAAAAATGGCATTTGTGGTTCTCAGGAGTCATGATGGAATAACTAAGAGGATGGCTCTAGAAGTTCTGTCTGTGGGCTGAGGAGGAAGGAGAGTAATTGGAGGCTGGAGGGCAGAGAGGGGAGAGCATTTGCATCGCGAAAAGAGACAGATCCACATACTGTGCCTGTAGTTGGCTGTTTTGTAGGGAATAAATGTTAATTACTGACCATATTCTTGGTCCTAGTTTGTCAAAGAGAGCATAGAGTTCTGTTTTATGAACATACAATCTTCACAAACTGAGTGATATTAGTTTGTAATATTCATCTTTCAAGAGTAGAAATTTTTATCAGTATTTACTGAAAACTTGATTCACAGTCTTCATAAGAGTCCTCATACAGTATTTACATTTTATTTAAGCTTCAACTACCTATATTGGATATAAGAGAAAATGTTTTACCTACTGAATTTTCTCCACCCAGAAAATATGGATTCTACCCTACTGATAATCCTTTTTCTGTATATCAAATATCTGAAATAAATATATATCATATACAACCATATAATTTAGTTGTCTCAGAGATTCATAAATTTGTGTTTAAATGGCAGTTTTAAGTGTTTTTCTCTTTTATATATTTTTCAAATATGTTCAAAGACCACAGATTATTAAAAGAAGTCTTGGCATGTTAAATTCAATGATTGACTACTTGATATTTAACCCATTTGGTTATAATTAACATGAAATATTGTATTATTCATTATCATAAGAAATTAAATGATAAAGCTTAACATTTATTGAGTTCTTACTATGTGTCAGGCACAATTCTGATAACTTTATATGTATAAGAGGGGACCCCAAAAAACAACTATCTTCTGGAGCGAAGACACATTGTGCTACAGGCTTCCCTCCATGAGGTGAGGGTTCTAGGAACCCCTCCCTATCAGTGTACCAGCTGGCATTGTTGTAAGAGGCTGTGCTTGTTTGACTTCAGTGAAATTTTTTTAATACTTTTTCAACTCATTTACCCATTTGTTGATAGTTGATTTACAAGCTCACCTGCCCACAACACACTGAATGTTCAGCAGTTTTTGACCAAAAACAGCATGACCCCCATGCTCCACCCTCCCTATTCACCCAATCTCACGCTGAGTGACTTTTTTTGTTTCCCTGGATGAAAAAAGTCCTCAAAGGGAAACATTTTGCTGATATGGAAGAGGTGAAACAAACAACAGTGGAAACACTAAATGGTATCAAAATCAATGAGTTCAAAACCCATTTTGAGCAGTGGAAAAATATATCAATAGGTGTATTGCATCAAATGGAGAGTACTTTGAAGGTGATTGAAGTTTAAATATGTAAGAATAAATACACATATTTTATAAATAATTTCTTTTTTGGGGGGTTCCCCCTCATGTTATCCCAGTTAATCCTTATGCTCTATGAAGTATACCATGGTTATCTGAGGACCATGTGATGGAGTAAAGAGAAAATAACACTGAAAATTTCAAAGGAGCCCAATTTTCTTTTGCTTTCATTTATCATAAATAGAAATGTCAGGTAAAAGGATCAATTACTGTTATTAGAATGCAGACTCACTGGAGAAGAAAAATAAGTCATACAAAGGAGTTACTCAACCATGTATGAATAAAAAGGAACAATTCATCTTCGGAGAGTGTCAAATCACCCAATTTTGTCATGGTGATATGTGGGTAACCTCTCTGACAACTGCTCCTGTGAGCTGCCATAAAAGAGGAAGAATAACAAAAGCAGTAACTCTGCCCTCTTCCTGGAGGGTTCAGGAGGATTCAAGTAGAGGCTGGGTATCTAGTCATCCAGAGGGGTAATGGGATGAAGGATTTGGCTTTCAAAATGGAGATTAGCAGTAGGAAAGAGTGATACTAGTGCCCCCTAAGATTTTTCTCAACCCTGCAATTATGTTTCTGAGACTTCAGATGCAGCTTCCATAGTAGTTGAACTATTTAACTCGAACCTTGCCAGAATTCCATCTTGGACACCATCTGTCTGTGAGAACCAGAGTTTACTGGTGTGAAATAACAAGCTTCACTTTTTATTAAAAAAAGCATTTTATTACAAATAAATGTTTGTGTACCTTCCTTTTTAATTCAGATTAAAAGAGCCTTATGGAGCCTATTTGTAAATTACTTCAACTTCTAAGTATTATTTATACTGCATTTTGTATCTTATCGAATATGAGTTTGTGGATGACAAACTCTGCAATGGGAGGTAGCAATGCAGAGGCAGCTGTTTTGTACATAAAATTGATTGATTACTGTTTATAATCAAGCACTGTTAATTAGCATCAGATCCACTTATACATTATTTGAAACAGATAAATAATGCTGTGAATATTGTTAAATGATAGAACATACCCTAAATAAAAGATTACAACTTAAACTGTATTTGCTTAATTTTGTAAACTGGCAATTTTAGGTAAAAAGCAATTAAATTAATGCTTTTATTCATAAGTAAAGATTTTAAATCCTTTTCCAAACAGTGTTGACATTATCATTATGTTATAGTAGTGCAAAATTTGGCACAGAGAATTTTGATTAGAAACATTTTTATTTTAAATACTTCATATAAATTAATTCCATGTGCCTAGAAATATGCATGCATCAATGCATAATAAAAAGGTTTCAAATATAAGAGTTTTTAATGTTTGCAACAATGTACATTATGTATTACACACATTTAAGTTCTACACTTTAAAATTCTGAGATTAAGAAAGTAATAATTACTTGCAAGGATTATTCTTTATTCAGTTTATATCAGAAGAAATTTAACCTCAGAGAGTTCAGCGTCTGTCAGTAATCATAATATATTTTTTCTAAGTCCTGGGAAGAACGTCTCTATTACAGTGCTGTGGAGTAAATCTGGACTATTGTTGGCTTGCTTTTCTCCTTTGTAGTTGCCTTACCCATTTTCTATTTGCTCCTTGCTTCTCCTTGATTAGGCCCATGACAATGCCCTCAGCTGGGGGCAGGTTCTATAACTGACTGGACTTACCTTTTCAGTTTTTAGCTGCCCATTTTTTCTTTTTAATCATTCTTTCTCAGTTGCAAGACTTTCCACATACCTCTCTAGATTCGTGAATACATTTGCCAGATTTGTTAGTTTGCTCTTTTATGATCTGATGGTATCATTTGAGGCCTTGTTTCCATAATACATTAATTTCTTGGCTTACTAATTTTCTCAAAAAATGTTTGGTTTTGTCAAAAGAAAAGCAACAAAAAAAACACTTGAATTTGTGTCATGTGTTCCTCTTAAAAAGGGCTGCTCTTCTGGGCGAGAAGGGGACTTGGGCCCTCAGCATCCTCTGGAGAGAGCCTTCGCAGAGGCTGAAGATGGATCTTTCCATTGTTGCCCATGCTCTGCTGGGCTTTCACTTTTTTCTCTTTAATTTTATTTACACAACTCTCCTACACATGCACTATATTTTGTGTGATTATATACTTTCTTTCACAAATGAGCCTGCTCAGACAGCCTCACAGTTTCAAAACAACAGTTGACTTTTTACTTAGAAAATACTAAGTAGCCTCTTAGTATTTTCATCTAAGAATCTGTAAGTTTTACTGTTGGATTGATGAAGTAGTTGAGAGGGTCCTTCCATTGCTCTCTCTAGTTTCTGGGGTGGGTAATAGTGTAGGAGCTAAGGGTGGCAGTGCCCTGGCACTGGGAGGGTGGGTGGATTCACCAAAGTTGAATCAGGCTATTTTGAGGAACTCTCTTCTGTACCTGGAAACCTGGCATTGTGAGAGTTTGCCACTTTCTTTGGGGACAGGTTTTATCCTGAAACAAGATTGAAGGGCTTGTTATAACTAATCAGAGTTATAACTATAACTTGTTATAACTGAAGATCTGAAGGTGCTCACTCTCTGTACTGGGGCAGCCAGTCTACAGTGTTCACTTTGCCAAGTCCATAGTCTTGATCCTAGATATTTGATAGTAGTGGTTCTCAACCTTTGACCTTCAAAGAGCTTTTGTTTACATAGGCTATATTTGTTGATAATTATTATACTAAAAATTAATACTGAAAATATTTAAAAGAATCTACTTAAAAGAATAGGCTTTTTACATGTGAATGTAACATTCTTATTTAACCAATAGATATATTTTCCAAGAAAAAATTTAGAAAAGTGGCATGGTTTTAAAGTTTTGCAAAAAAGCGGGCAGCCGGTTAGCTCAGTTGGTTAGAGTGTGGTGCTAATAAAGTTTTGCAAATGAGTTTTAAATATCTGGCTTAATAGAAGACCCCTGGATTCTCATATCTGATTCTTTATTCAGTATGTTGTTTTGGTTGGATTATATGAAAAAAGCCTGCCATGTCACAGGAATGTAGTTGAAAAGGGTAAGAGCATGTGAATAGCATTTTTAGGTATTCTCCCTTGTAAATACTTCAATATCCAACAAATGGCAGTTTCTTCCCAATTCATCTGTATCAGTGCACTTTTTGTGCTCTGTTACTTAAAAATCCATTAGTCTAAGACTTCTGCCGAGATGAAGGCGTAGGTAGAAACACTGTGCCTCCTTGCACAACCAAATTTAAAGACAACAAAGTTTTAGTAACAAAAACAGCTAAAACACAGAAAATTGAACTATACAGAAATCAGACAACAACGAACCCTTCAGCCAGACCGGTAAGAGGGGCAGAGCCAGCAGTGGAGCAGGGTCGGCAGGAAAGATCCCCTGAAATGACCCAGGTGTGGGCGGCAGTTGGTGAATCCCAGGCATGGGGTAGCAACAGGCAGACCCAGTGAGAGCGCAAGGTGGCAGGCTGACCACGGTCACACATTTGTGCACAGATAAACCAGTGAAGGAGCGAGCAGTGATACAGACCGAGGGGAAGCAACAGAGGGGGGGACCCTGCTATTATCCCTCTCTGACCCCACCCCCACATACAGTGTCACAACCCAGCAACTGAGTTACCCTGCCCTGGTGAACACCTAGGGCTCCACTCCTCATATGTAACAGGAGTGAACAGTCCAAAACATTATGGCTTAAGAAGAACTCAAAGCCCCAGAGCCGATAACTCTAAGTGACCAAGAAATAGCCAACTTGTCAGATGCACAGTTCTAAACACTGATTATGAGGATGCTCAGAACTGGTCGACTTTAGTCACAAATTAGAGAAACAAATGAAGGCTAAACTAACTGAAATGAAGGGAAATGCACAGGAAACCAATAGTGATGGAAAGGAAACTGGGACTCAAATCAAGGGAGTGGACCAGAAGGAAGAAACAAACAACCAAACAGAAAAAAATAAAAAAAAAAACAAGAATTCAAAAAAGTGAGGAGAGGCTTAGGAACCTCCAGGACATCTTTAAACACTTCAACATCTGAATTATAGGGGTACCAGAAGGGGAAGAGAAAGAGCAACAAGTGGAAAACTTATTTGAACACATATTAAAAGAGAACTTCCCCAATCTGGCAAAGGAAATAGACTTCCAGGAAATCCAGGAACCTCAGAGAGTTCCAAAGAAGTTGGACCCAAGAAGGAACACACCAAGGCACATCAT